GGATTGGGGAGCAGGGCGAGGGAAGCGGAAATGCTGCGCTAGCGGAGGTGAGAAGACTGTAGAGGAAGGGATGAAGATGCTAGCGGGAGCCGCGCAAGGAGGCCGTTAGCAAGAGAGAGCAAATTGGAGTGTGCGGGTAAGGAGGAAGATACCAAGGCAAGCGAAAGAAGCATGCAGAGGAGGCGAGGGCTAATGGGATGCAGTAGGAGACGAGGGTAGGCGATGCCAGCAGAGGGAGCGGTATGGGATGCAGAGCGAGGCGAGGGTATGGCGATGCAGAGGCAGGGAGGGTATGCGGATGCAGACGGAGGCGAGGGTATTGGATGCAGAAGATGAGGGAGGGTATGGGATGCAGCCAGGAGGCAGAGCGTATGGATGCAGAGCCGGATGGACGGGTATGGCGATGCAGCATGGAGGGAAGGAGGATGCAGAGGAGGAGCAGGCGTCATGTGAAGGAGTGGGGAAAGAAGCAGCGTCAGCAGATATAGAGAGATGGTGCAGAGCAGATTGGCCGATTATGCAAGACACAACAAGGGGCTGAAAACACACCATCCCTCACTGTCCACCGCTTATAAACACAGCGCCGGGAATGGCGAAAAGTGGAATAAATCAATCAATCAACAGGTCGCCAGCTCTGCCTCGCGAAAAATCGGTGATGGGCATCGCCAGGATGCGTCTGTGCAGCACAATTGCGGCGAATTTCAATTCGGCTGACTGCAGGCCCAGTATCGCTGTCTGACGTGGTCGATGTACGTCAGCTCGTATGGCCGCCCCCGAGAATCCGACCCTGCTTAGAGGTTCCCAGAGAACCAATCCACTCTCCTGCTGCGCCGCGCAACATTACTGTGGTCGCCGACACGATGCCTCCGCCAAACGCAATCTTCTCAATCGTCATCTTAGCAGGAGCGCGCGTGGTAGGTTCCCCAGTTAAAGCACCTCATTCGGAAACAGTGGAATATTAAACACGAGCGAATGCCCAGTTCCTACTCTCATCCGCAGTAACACTACTCGAAACTAGGGACGGCGGCGTGCGTACGTAGCACACCACCCACGAGCATCGACCATCATTCAAAATCACTCACTCATCAAGTGAGCGCGACGATGAGAACACAGCATCGGCGAAGTCACGGTCATGCACGAGCTGAGGAGGAGGGATTCAATACGCAGGGAGAGCACACAAAGATTAGAAGGCCTAACATCGATGAGGCCGCGCGATCACCCCCCCCCCCCATCACACACACACAGCGCCAACCGCAACGCACTAATACTATGGATTATGCTAAAATACAGCAAGAATATCACGTCTGTCGGCCAGCGATAACGATCGTGCGTACAGTCAACAAACAAATTACACGAGCAGGCTAAATATCATCGTAAGCTACTTACTCGCTCATACGATTTCTCACATGCAAACTAACGCGCTGAACACTGCCGGTGCGCGCTACAAGCGAACGATCAGCAGCGGCACACTCACCCAGCAACCCCACGCACGCCAACTGCACACCCACCACCCACGCACGCCACCCCACCACGCACACCCATCCACCCACTGCACGCACCAACGCCAAAACCCACCCACCACCGCAACGCACACCCCACCCACGCACGGCACGCACACGCACGTTTCTACCCACCCACCCACGCACACGCACACGCACGTTCACTCACCCACGCACGCATTGTACAGCACAACGCCACAACCCACCCACCCACGCCACGCACACCACCCACCCACGCACGCACACCAACCCAGCCCACCAAAGCACGCACACCACCACCAACGAACACGCACAACCACCACGCACGCACGCACACGCACGTTCTACCCACCCACCACGCAAGAGCACACGCACGTTCACCACCCGCACGCACGCACCCACGCCACACCACCCACCCACGCACGCACACCCACCCACCCACCACGCACACGCACACCCACCCACCCACGCACGCACACCACCCACCCACGCACGCACACCCACCCGCACACGCACGCACACCCACCTTACCAACTGCACGCCGCCCACCCACGCACGCACGCACACGCACGGATTCACCCACCCACCACGCACTCACACGCACGTTCACCACTGCACGCACGCACGCACACAACAATAGTCAGCAGTCCACAGTCAGTCACTGCTTCTAGCACATTTGCATATAACTACTGCGGGACGTTAGTAACACCAGCGGCAACTGCTGCTGCGTGGACCTCACAGCATCACACAACCTTACACGTCATCCTTCTGTCTGCCGTGGACCTCACAGCATCACCCAACCTTACAGCGTCATCCCTCCTGTACCTGCGTGGACCTCACCAGCATCACACAACCTTACACGTCACCCCTCTGTCCTGCCGTGGACCTCACAGCTCCTTCACACAACCTTACACCGTCATCCCTCTGTCCTGCCGTGGACCTCACAGCATCACCCAACCTTACACGCTCATCCTCCTGTAACCTGCGTGGGATCCTCACAGCATCACACAACCTTACCACGTCACCCCTCTGTCCTGCCCGTGACCTCACAGCATCCCACAACCTTACACGTCATCCCTCTTGTCCTGCGTGGACGCTCACAGCATCACATCTAACCTTACACGTCATCCCTCTGTCCTGCCGTGGACCTCACAGGCCATCCCACAACCTTACACGTCATCCCTCTGTCCTGCCTGCGACCTCACAGCACTCCCACAACCTTACACGTCATTCCCTCTG